GAACGGCCCGTTCTGAAACCAGAACGGGACGTTCTGGTTGCACTTTTGGTGTGTTAATTTCGCACCTGGAACGGGCCGTTCCAGATGCAAAATTAACGCACCAAAAGTGCAACCAGAACGGCCCGTTTCGATTTCAGAACGGGCCGTTCTGGGTCCTGGTGTTTTACAAAAATTGTCATCCATGTGGCATCCATGTGGCATCCATGTGGCATCCACGTATGCATCTACGTGGCATCCACGTGGCCAAAAGTTAACTTCGTTTAAATAATTTGGACGGAAGTCCCTCATTGAAACCAATTAATTAATTTGGGACTAAATTGAAACCAATTAATTAGTTTAGGACCAAATTAAGATCAAAAATAAAAGTGGAACTAAATTGAAACAAACAATTAATATAAGGGACCAAAATAGGATTTTAGCCTATTTTATGTCTCTTTGTAAAGGTATGTTAAAACTTAGATAAATGTACTTGCTAAGATCTTGTATCAATTTTTGGAACGATGAAATCCTATATTCTTAACAAGCATTAGGCTTCGATCATTTAAATCAAATGTAGCACCAACATTCATTTGCAAAATAATGAGCATTGTTTTGCAATTTGACTGACTGAGTTGAAAAATAAAGTTTAATTTTCATCTGCTATCTTTAATTAGGGTCAATTAATTAATTAAAATTTATATTATTGACTTTTTAGAATAATTATCATAAAAGTATAAAAATATATATATATATATATATATATATATATAACAATATATATGATTGAATGATAATGTATTACATATCAATTAAATTATAAGAAAATAATTATTGTACTAATATGATAGGCCAGTGTAGTTAAAAGTCGACGCTATTCTTTAAATATAGCGTCGGCTTTTCCAACACTAATTTAATTTAAATTTAAAATTAAAATTAAATTAGTGTCGGAAAAGCCGACGCTATATTTAAAATAGTGTCGGCTTTTCCGTCACTATTTGCATTGATTATTAATCGACACTTATTTTTCGCTGCTTATTCACTGTTTTTTTGTAGTGAATCGATACAGTTCAGAAAAACATATATAAATCTAAGAACTTAACCATAAGAGATCAGATTTTCCTTAGTTTGTTTCATATTGTAATAGAAGGTATGAAAAACCTAGAGGTATCGTAGGTTTAGATTGGTGTAAGTTTTGGGTAAAATCAAATCTAAAATATAAATAGATAGATATTTAACTGACTTGATTGAGTTTGAATTTGAAAATCTTTTTTTAACTATATCAAAATAAACTATTTTAAAATATCAAGATGGTTTAACCGGTGGAAGTAAAAGAATTTAATCAAATGTGTTATTCCCGTGTTAATTTAGTTTGAGTGGTTGAGATAATAAAAAATTATGTTTTTTTATATTTTTATCTTCATGAATTTATTAAAAGAAATATTTATACTAATGTAAGTTAAAAATATTTTGCTTTTCAATGATTAGTTACTTATTTTGTTTAATTTTTAATTTTTCTATAATTATCACTTTACATATATCTTATTGATTTTTAATTTTTTTTATAATTATCACTTTAATTTTTCTATAAATATAAAATGTATTTATCTAAAATTTTAAAAATAGTTTATTGAATCATGGGATTGGTTCAATTTAATAAAAAAATCTGAAATAAAATTAATCAAACTCTATGTATTAAACATGAACCACCATCTAGCATAAGAGCATTTAACACCTATATATTAAATTTGGAATATTATGTAGTACGAGAGCATTTTTAAGAATTTTTTTTTTTTCGATAAGAGGAATTTTTAGAAATTCTTTTAATTTCATGTTTAATTCATTTTTTATTTATTATAATTATTTATTAATTAAATTTTAATATTTTTAAAATAAATTATCAATAATAAAAATAATCTTGTGTATTATGATATAAATTATTTATCATAGTTATATGTTTAAAATATCTATTTATATAAAAAAAAATTAAATATAATTTATATATTCAAACATAATATTTTTGTATAATTTATTATAAATTTTAGTTAGGTTAAAACATTCTTTTAGTTTATATACTTTTACTTACTTTACCTTTCAGTCCTTATAATTTAAAATAAATTTTTTAATTTCTTTTTGTAATGTTTATTTTATGTTGACGTGATAGATATTTTCAATATTATGAAGAAGAAAAAAAAGGTGTCTCAATAATGAGATTACAAGTGAAGATACAAAAGAGACATGAAGGTCAAAAGATCTAATTTAGAGTAATTTTAGTAAAATAAATATGACATCAGACATACAAAATTAAATTAATATCTCTATTATATCAATATAAAAGAGATAATATTGCATAATGATAGGAGCTATAAAAATAAAATAACTACAAATATAAAGATTAAAAAAATTATCTTAAATTGTGGAGACTAAAAAAATTAAAAAGATAAATATAAAGACTAAAAAAATATTTTTAAACTAGAAATTATAAGATAAAATAAATAAAATTATAAGAATAAAAAAAATTAACCTTTTTAATTATATATAATATATAAACATGTAACATGTGCACCACTTAAAATACCAATTATAATTAGTTTGACTTTAATTTAAAGTGAAATCAACTAATCATGAAATCAACTAATCAAAACCAATTTATTTTGTAATTTGTGAAGTTCACTTATTGATCCAAACACTCAGTCGTACCTGCAATGCAAGTGGTAGATAAAATGAGGAATAGGATAAGAGAGGTAGGTGAGTGCATTGACAACGAAGAACAGCTGAGGTTAAAACTTTTCATTCACCAAAATTTCAAACAAACACAAGACCCCACAGATACAGTTTCCTTTTCCGGAGAGATTGACATGCATGCATGATTATTCTCTCTTTTTTTAATGTGTTCAACACATTCAATACAATGTTAATTTGTTTGTGTTAGGGGTAAAGGAAAATAGGCAATGAGGTAATAGGGAACATAAACATTATTTATGTTTTATTTATTTTTTTATTTATTTTCATCATATAGGATAAGTTGTTTTCTAAGTTATTTT